GGTGTGGCTGGTCTGGACAGGATGCTTTGTCCAAACCAGCCAAAAAATATCTGGAATTTGATCACATCATTGAACTTCAACTTTCTTTATCTTTAATTTGGAAATTAATTTCATGCTCTGAGCTCTGAAGTTTAATTCCATTTAATTCCAGATTTAGCCCAGAAGCTCTCAATTGGCTGTTTGTCAAGGGATTGCTCGGCTGGTTTATGCAGGTTGCGTTGCTCAAAATGATACTCCTTTCACTGGGTAGTGGGGAGGCGCCCTTGTTAGACATTGTTGCTTATGCTGGGTATACCTTCACAGGCATGTGTTTTGCTGTCCTTGGAAAGATCTTATCTGGATACTCTTACTACATTTTGATGCCATGTGCCTGCTTATGCATGGGAATTTTCTTGGTGAAGACAATGAAGAGAGTACTTTTTGCAGAGGTGAGGAGCTTTGATTCTAGCAGACACCATTTTCTCTTGCTCCTCATCGCTTTGGTTCAGTTCCCATTTTTCGCATGGCTTGGCAATGTTAGTGTCAATTGGTTTCTCTAAACTGCTCTGTTATGTTGTAGAAACATGTATTTGTAGAGTAATGAAATATCAAATTTTTTTGGTATATTCGCTGATTTCGAGGTGATTGTTTTTGCTGATAAGCATGTGAATCCAATGCTCTTTTCATCCACTTTGAAATCTGGGAAAGTCTGTTGTTTGATGTGATGAGAAAATGTAAAGTTTCAACATTACAGATAATAAATTTATCCTATGGATAAATGGGCATTTGTTCAACACCGGAAATGCATTAATGAAGAGTACAGATTATGACACCTTCTCCTTCGCTGGAACCACTGATTAGTAAGTGGAAGCTTGCCTCACTGGACTTTATTATAAGCTTGAGTACATGGAATTTGTTTGATGATCCGTTGTGAATTATCAGTAACTTCTCAAGTGCTGTGATCTTGCTGCCCGTCACACTCTGAGTTTGCCCTTTGCCCTCCTCTGCAAAACAGAATGTTTGGCGGACACCTTAAGCAATTGTGGGCAAGGTTGGCTCTAACTGCCACTGTCCCGTTAATAAACTGTGGTGGAAGATTTCCTATCAGAAAATTGTCTTCTAAGAGCAAGCTTTTCCATGAACTCCCCAGTTTGGCTCCATATTCTAGTGGGATTCGTCCAGAGAACAGATTATGGGATAGATCAATTGATGATAAATTCGCTATATTAACCAAACTGATGGGCAGATGACCATGTAGCCTGTTAGCGTGTGCGTCTAGTACACGAAGCTGTAAACCTTCCCTAGGGTATGGCATTGGCTCCATTTCCGTGAATTGATTATTTGAGATGTTAATGCTTTCCACCAGAGGCAAAGTGAAAATTTCCTGACGAATGAGACCTGAAAGCCTGTTATCACTCAAATCTAGTACTCTTAGGTGTTGGAGGACGCTCACAGGTGAAATGTGTCCTGATAGTACATTGTGGCTCAGCGACAATTTTCTCAAGTTCATTGGAAGATTGGGCACAATTCCATCTAGATTGTTGCTACTAAGATCCAATGTGCTCAGCTGCCACAATGCGGAGAGGTCTGGAATTCTGCCAGACAATGCATTGTTTGACAAGCTTAACTGCCCCAAGCTTCTCAAAGTTGTAATATCGGCAGGAATTTTGCTAGAGAGGTGGTTTTGTGACAGGTCTAAGATTTGAAGATGCTTGAGATTAATGATTCCTTGAGGTATTCTCCCAGTGAAGAGATTTTGAGTCAATGATAGTCTGGTGAGCTTTTGAAGGTTGGCTATGGTTTCTGGTATTGGCCCTCGAAAGTTGTTTTTGCTTATCCTAAGGGAGGTAAGCTCTGTCAGATTCCCGATCGATGCTGTTAGAAAGCCATCATACCCAGCAGGATCAAGATCAATTGCCATTATACGGTTGGCCGACTGGTCTGTAGGGAATGTGCACACGATCCCTTGAAATAACCCTGCAGCCTCACATGGATCGAATGTGAAATCCCAGCTATGGAGGTAGGAATACCTCACAATTGAGACGGGATCGACAGCCTGCATCAGTGCCCGAAGGGCTTCAATATCTGATTTCAGTGTTACTGAATGAACTCGAGTTGGTACATGGAGAAGAACTATGGATACGGTCACAGAAAGCAAGCAAGAAGAAAGGAGGGAGCGCAGTTGTTTGGCCATTGGTTCAAGGGAAGGCAGGCGATCTAAACTTTCGATGGTTTGCTTGGCTATCAAAGACTTCGCACACTTATAATGGCATTCTGTTAATGTATGATTCATGACTATTTCATTGCAAGAAAGTGGCTAGCCATGCCAAGAAAGTGATTTAGAAAACTTTAAAGAATGATTACAAGGTGGTCGTTCCACTTCAAACCATTTCAACTACCCTTCTTTAGAAAAACAAGATTGTGATCCTCAGTTTTAAATAAAAAACAGCATGAAAAATGTTCTTTCAAGGACGAAATTCAATGACTCTGACCCACTAGAGGTAATTTAGCAAACAAGGTGCCATTGTCATCCATTGAACTGCACCAAACATTAGCTTCATGTTCAATTTTATATTTGCAAGCACAGCCCGAAATTTGACTCTGTTTTGAGAGTTATAACCCTCCCACAATCAAATTAATATGGCTCCTAATCCTCCTCCATTAAATGGCAATGCATGCTTAATTTATCATCTCGACTGATGCATTTCCAGTGAAAGAGTAACCCTAGCGAGCAACAATCCATATACTTACAGAGCTAGTAATATCCTCAGTGCTCTTGATTGTAACAGCTCACTGTACGATTCTCAACTATTGCATGTACAACAATGGTTGACAATCATACAGTGAGCTATTACAATCATGAGCACCGATTGATGTGATTGCTCTTTCAAACGGAAAAAAACTAACAAAAATAACAATATATAGGATAACGTGGAAAATGAAGCTGACTGTGATGCTACTCGCTAGTCCTTAAAATGCAGAGTCTCATGCCCGTGTATGCAAATACATACTATATAGTATATACATACATCAATGCCTACATGAACTTAGAGAAAGCATGTATAGTTCCTTAAAAGTTGAACTCAGCAGTGCTGAGCTCAACACCCCAAGTTCAGCCAAGATCAGGCACAGTGAAGTACTCGTCGTCATCATCTGAGATTTCAATTCTAGGCTTCTTATGGGGCATGCTGGATTTGGCGGGTCTGCATGAGTTCACATTGGTTGGTGGTGAGATTGGCAGTTGAGGAACTTCGGCTGCTGCTAGAGCCTCTTGAGGAAGTTGCTCACCGAAAAGACCCATGTCAGCTAGCCACTCAAACTCTCCTAACTCAAGTTGCTCTTTCTGCACAGATAAGAAACAATAAAGTTACGAAAGGACATTGACATTTGAACGACACTGCTCAATCCAACAGCTTTGACATCAATTATTTTTCGTCATAATATAACAGGAAAATGAAAAAACATTAGCCTACATTTCACGAAGGCAAGGTTGGGTGCTCAGAGGGGTCATTGAAATGCAAAATCAGAAAGTAACTGCTAGTTTACATATTTAGAGAGCTACTATAACTTCCTTGTTTTCCGAGAGAAAGATTATCTTGGGTTGGGATTAGGGCCAACTATATTTGGAAGAACTATATACCATTATACAGTCAATCAATAGTCTGTGTCATAAGATCTTGGGCAGGCAGTTCCCGCTTTCTCCCAATCTTTTCATTCTTTGGGAAGACAATATTGGATGTAAATAAAATCCGAGGGAATGTATTTAGTCCTCAGAAAAGCTTCTTATTACCTTGTCAGTGGATGATTCGAACTCGGAAAACTGTAGAAAGTCATCAACTGCCCATGAAGTGGCGAAGCTCGATGTTTGCTGTGCAGGGATTTTCATGGGAGTTTGCTGTGCGCTCTGATTTGGTGGCCCCGAAGAATTCATCTGCGTGTCCTTGGTGCAACTCGAGCTTAAAGCCACTCGGATTCCAGTGGCCAGAAACCGCTGGTGATTCGCAGAAAGGCTACCAGCTGAATGGATTGGTTCATCACAATCCCGGCAAAAGAGGGCCCTGTCTTCAACACAGAAAATGAAAGCTGCCTTTTCCTGAAAAATCAAATAAATTAGAGAGAGACAAATGAGAAACACCTCACAATCATAAGAATAGAAATTCATGTATATACGAAAACTCAACGAAGAGCATTAAGCCTCTCATTTGACAATTAAAACTAAAATTGAGCATTTTACATATCAAGTAACTTCATCTGTCATTCAAAAAACATTAAGGAACCCCTCATAGATTAACCCTTAATAAGTGGACAGAACCTGCAAGGCATCATCTTCTCATCGGCTAATGCAGGCCGCCGACGTGTCCTTTGTAAATGAATTCAAATGAATGCCTCAACTACACATTCCTAGCTAGTCCCTTTTCCATAGACTAACCCCGTGAAGCTCTATCTCTTTCAATTTAAACCTTTTCTCTTCTCTACTATGAATCACCATAAACATCTCAAGATCCATTAAACATACAAATCTACAACGAATTTCTTGATTTGAACAAGGTATCAGGGTGAATCAACAATTGAATAAATCTTGGAAAAAAAGACCTCAACAAGTTAATGCTCAAATAACAGCCAAAACACAACACAAGAAATTGATTTTACAATCATCATTCAAGATCTCAACCTTCAGCAATGATTCCTTAGGGCTTTCCCCTTCTTATGTCTTCTTGGAACTCATAATGAGTACAAGTAAATAAATAAATATACATGCTCAAACACAAAACAATTAGCCATAGATAGATCACAAATGCAATAAGTTCATCTAATAGTCGAGAATTAAATAATTATACCAAAGGTGATAAAGAAAAGTACTTGGCATATATCACATGGAGGCAGCTTGTTGGAGAGGCACTGGAGAAGAAGCCTTTGGTGCTTGCTAGCGAGCTTGTTTGCAGCATGAACTTCTATGTCACATTTAGCACAAAGCGCAGCCTCATCAGCACAACAAATCACTGTGGCGGGTGCTTTCTCACACACATCACACTGAATCTTCATCTTGCTTAAAACAGACCAAACCTCCTCCTCTCTTTTAGCAGATCCTCACTTGGTTACACCTTCTCCAGTTTCTCTCTACCTTTTAAGTGTACTCAGCATTCAGTAAATGAGACAGTGAAACATATGTTTCAAAGTAGCTCAAAAAACAGCCTGAAATGATAATAATCTTTTTCCCAAGAAACTACTGGCCAAACAACAAGAGAAAGAAATAGTTTGGCCACGAAGAAAAAGGAAAGAACAGAAGAAGAGAAGAAAAACTACGAGAAGGTATAATAATAGAAATGGAAGATGGGAGCTTTGTGAAGTACTGTATAATGCAAGCAAGAACCTGTGGAAGATACAGAGAGAGGAGTGTATGGTGGAGAAACCAAGAAGCTGAGTGCGTGCAGATAAGGCTTAGAGATTTTGCGAATCAAAAACTCAAAGCCTTGTGGAAGAAATCAATGCATTGTGGGGTCGGATCTCCATGTGTGGATGCAGTTTTGTCAGCAAAGAGCACGTACTTATGGTCTCCGCTTATTTTCACACTTTTTTTTCTTTCTTTAGAGGTGAATGAAGAGTGCATAGCAAGATTAGTCTCCAATCTATTCATGAATCTCCAATTTGATCCTTAAACTATTTTTTTCAATGGGTCATTTGTGTAATAACAACATTCCTTCTTTATCTTCTTTTGCTCATGCACATTAATTTTTTTTTTTGATATATATAATAAGATTTTGTAGAGACTTTAAAAATTTTTTCATGAAAATATAATAATATTAGGTAAAGTTATTTGAATAAAAAAATCCAATATCGTAAGGTTTCAAATACACTTTGGTGTATAAATAATATATTTATCAGCATTTAGATAATATTTTTTAAATTATAAAATTAAATATATAACAATAGTTAAAGAAATTTTTAAATTTATCTGTTCAAACTATCCATACAAATATATAAGATATTTTTTTAACTGATTCGGTTTTTTCCTTTATTAAATAATAATAATAATAATAATTTAATAAAAGGTTACTCCGTTGAAAAACTATACCATACAAGGAATAAAATTGATAAAATGAATTATATCAGGATGAAATTAAAAATCAGATAATACATGAAGGATGAAAACGAAGTTTCCCCTTAGTTTTTCTTTTGATGGATTGAAAATCAATATCACGTGATATGGAGGCATCTCCGGGAACGGCGGCTTGCTGGAGGTTGCCGCCATTCCAGGGGGGTCTTCTTTGCACGCGTAAAGCAAGGACAGAAATTCATATCTCATGTATATTTCATGTTTTAGAGGTGTTAAAATTCATTTCAAAATGATTCTAGAAAAAAAGTTATTTTTATATTTTTATTTCTCTGATTATATACATTTTTATTTTCATTATCTTCTTATCTTTTATCTTGAAATAATAATCAAATACTATATAATAAAATTTATCTTTATTCATGTTTTGCTTATTATAAAAAAGACACATAAATTATTTTAGAAAATTACCCTCAATTATAACATTAATATTATTCAATGTGATTATATTTACCTTAAAATTGATTTTTTCCCAAGAAAACTGACTAATTTGTATTAAAAGGAATTTATATGGAGATTTATTTTTTTCGATTCACAAGAAAAATCAACCCCGACGTCCATGATATACATAACCTTGAATTCTTGAAGGGTTCAACACCTTTGTTGTTTACCTTTCAACTTTGTTTAGAGATTAGAGGTTTAAAAATTGTTAGATTAGGATATAAAATAAAATTATAAGTAAAGATTTGAATTTATCCATAATTGTTTGCAAACCCTTTTTATTATAAGTGAATGGAAGGGTTGATTTCTTAATTATAGTTTTTTTTTTAAAAAAAGATTAACAAAATTAATTAGATATTAGCTCTTTTGTTTTTGTAGTTGAAAAATATTTTTTTATATTTTTGAATTCCTTTGATATACGGATATTTAAAATAATTTTTTAAATATTTTTTTAATATATTTTTAAATTAAAAATACTTTAAAAAATAACCATTATCTGAATATTTTAAATTTAAAAATTGAAATATTTTCAATTTAAAAAACTTATTTGATTTAAAAATTAAGATAAATAAGGATTTCCAACGAATAGCTATGGTGATTTTTTTTTTTCTAGTGCAATAAATCGAGATGACTAAACTTCCATTTATATAATTAATTATTTGCTTCTATGCTCGCCTTTCTCGATTCATCATTGTAATACTGTCTTTCAAACCTATCATGTTCACGTAAACCCTAATTTATGTTCATGTAGGAACCGTCAAAGCCTCATCAAGATCGCCTTAAATAGCACTCTAAGTTAGGTTCCTTCTAACAAGAACATTTAATGCCAACCTAGTGGACACCTCTCGTTCTTCCTCGGTGGTTGGATATTATATTCTCCTCCTTCTATCCCTTGTTCTTCCTATCTAGTTGGCCTTCAGCCCCACCACCTGTTTAGTTGGGCCTATCAAGGATTAGGCGGAGAACGGTGCGAGCTTCTTCACTAACGACAGTAGACCTATCGAGGCGGCCTCGAGATAACAGTCCGGTCACCGCAAAGGGCCTGAGGGTTCACCGAAGATGATCATAGAGAGAAAACAGTAAAGACAGTCTAGTTGTAGCTCCGATTATGACAAATATTCTCTAAGACGACAAACACTATATCATTCTTCATGAAACATTCTTGTACAGCTAATAAACAACACATAACAACAATTTTCTTGCTATCTAATTTATAGTGTGTTTGTTTCTGTGATAAAAAAATATTTTAAATATTTTTTGTTTTTTTATATTTTTAAGTTTTTTTAATATACTAGTGTTAAAAATAAATTTAAAAATAATAAAAATATTATTTTAATATTTTTTAAAATAAAAAATACTTTAAAAATAATATTATTACCGTTCAAAATAAAAATCGGACCGCATTTATTTGAAAGAATTGCTATAACTTTGTGCTTTGGTGGCCTCGAGACAATATGAAGATGGCCTATGATTGGAAAACCATAGTGGTAAATCGTACATACAAGTTTGAAAATTGATCTGGGTTAGGTAGCCTTTTATTCTCTGAATTGCAGGTTTGTCACGCTACTCAGATGGACTTGAGCTGATTTTTCTATCGTGTTTATCCACTTATATCATTATATATTTTTTTTTTTGTTTTTTTATTTATGTGGAGTGTCCGGATCAGCTTGCGCGCACCACGATTAATCTCCACAACCCACTAAATATCCTGCAAATCCAATAGACAAGTAAAATACCACAAGGATGACAATGACTAATTTCCACAGCCCACTAAATATCCTGCAAATCCAATAGACAGGTAAAATACCACAAGGATGACAGGCATGCATGCCAGAGCTCGAATTCATAATAATAAAAGGAGATAAGTTCCTTCCACCACTACGCCAAGTACCGGAATGCTGAGACAAGTTCCTTACACCACTACGCCAAACGACTAATCTCCACAGCCCACTAAATATCCTGCAAATCCAATAGACAGGTAAAATACCACAAGGATGACAGGCGTGCATGCCAAGCTCGAATCCATAATAGTAAAAGGAGACAAGTTCCTTACACCACTACGCCAAGTACCGGAATGCTATATCATTATATATTTAATTTAGAGGGAAATGAGCTGCATCGTTTTTCCTCTTTTATCATTTCAAGAAGCTGTTGCAATTGAATTTGATCTGATGATCTTACCTGTCTCTTCCAGGTAAATTTCCAGTGCCATTGACCCGTTTCATATTCCCTCATTTCAGCCAAACAAGAAGATGGTGCAACAGACAAAGAGTAAACCGAGAGAAAGAGTCAGTAACGCAGCAACATCCTAGTCATACCCAGCCCCTTGCCTTAAAGAATCAATACCCGGAGAAAATATAGCCACCTATCTGTCCAAAATTTAATATTTCTCCCATTTTCAATCTGGAACTAGCAACCATTCTTCAAGGCAGATGCATTTTTTGATTCGGAGTTTATAATAGAGTATATATATAACTTTCCATGTTTCCGAAAGAGGAACCTTATTCTTTGGATCTATGTAATAACTTGAGCAACTCCCTTGCGCATTAGAAAGAATACCGTTTATCTATAGTTTCTTTGTTTAGATCTAACAGCAGCATATTAGCAATTGTGTGATTTCAGGCGGTCATTTCTTGTGGGTTTTGGCTTTTGGATGGATGACTTTAGCATCGACTCCATGGCTCACTGATCGAGAGTTTGATTTTGGTGAAGTCTTTGAATGAACTCATCAAAGATCGGGAGAATCCAACAGAGTGATGGGCCATGCTTCTTCTTTTTTTTAATGTAATTCTCCATTACTATTTAAAAAAAAAAAAAAGATACCACGCACGCTAGGAAAAAAAATCTCTTCCCTTGTCTCGTTTCTATCTATTTAAACCTTGTTCTCCATCCTCAGCAACCCCACCATGCTTACAAATAAGTTGTGCTTCACCATGGACTACATGTACTACTGCCTTGCTTTCTTCCTCTCCAGCTTTCTTCTATTCAAACTTGTATTCCAACGTAACCCCAACTTACCACCAAGTCCTTTCGGTTTTCCGATCATAGGCCATCTCCACCTTGTCTCGAAGCCACCAATGCATAAAGTGCTAGCAATTCTTTCAAATAAATGCGGTCCAATTTTTTCTCTCAAATTAGGCAGCAGGAACATTGTTGCTGTTTGTTCTTTATCAGCTGCTGAAGAATGTTTCATCAAGAATGATATAGTTTTTGCCAACAGGCCTCAGAGCATATTTGTCCATTATTGGAGCTACAACTACGCTGCCTTTTTATTTGCTCCGTATGGCCATCTCTGGCGGACCCTGAGGCGTTTCTCGGTCACTGAACTGTTTTCTCGAAGCTGCCTCGATAGGTCTACTGCCATTACTGAAGAAGTCCGCACCCTTCTCCGCCAGATTCTTTCCAAAGTCTCTGATGATGGAGCCAAGAAGGTGGACTTGAACTATTTATTCACAATCACCTCTCTCAATGTAATAATGAAGATGAATGCTGGAAAGAAGTGGGTGGAAGAGGAGAAGGCTGCCTGTATCGAGTCAGGAAAGCAGTGTATTGAGGATGTCCAAAAGATATTCCCTTCAAATAAAGGGACCAGCGCGTTGGATTTTTTTCCATTTTTGAAATGGATTGGCTACAAGGGGGAGGAGGAGAGTGTGATAAAGGTGTATAAAGAGAGGGATGAATTCTTGCAGGGCTTGATAGAAGAGGTGAAACGGAAGGAAACAAGTTCAGTTACAAGTAATCCTCCTGAAGGAGTGAAGCATCAGACAACTGTGATTGAAAGTCTATTGGCCCTCCAAAAATCAGACCCTGAATTGTATACGGATGAAGTTGTCAAGGGTACCATGGCGGTAAGCAACTTAGAATACCGAACTTACGGGCCCTACCAAGTTTTACATGTTTTCTAAAGCTCTCTTGAATTTATAAGAATGTTAAAGGTGTTCTTGTTAAATGGCCCCTCAAAAACAATTAAGCAAAATTAATAGTTGTAATTTTCCTAGACTGACCATGAATTTTTCATCTTCCGCAGACACTCTATTTGGCAGGAGTAGATACAGTAGATTTCACTATGGAATGGGCAATGACATTACTGCTGTGATAGAAGAGGTGAAACGAAAGGAAACAAGTTCAGATACAAGTAATCCTGCTGAAGGAGTGAAGCATCAGACAATTGTGATTGGAAGTCTATTGGCCCTCCAAAAATCAGACCCTGAACTGTATACGGATGAGGTTGTCAAGGGTACCATGGCGGTAAGAAACTTACGAGCCCTTGGAAGTTTTACATGTTTTCTAAAGCTCTCTTGAATTTATAAGAATTTTAAAGGTGTTCATATGAAATGGCCCCTCAAAAACAAAAATTGTACGGTTTGGTCACCCCACTTTCCAAAGTCTGGATTTATCCCTAGTTAAAATTAAGCAAAATTAATAATTGTAATTTTCCTAGACTGACCATGAATTTTTTATCTTCCGCAGACACTCTATTTGGCAGGAGTAGATACAGTAGATTTCACTACGGAATGGGCAATGACATTACTGCTGAACCATCCAGAGAGATTAGAGAGGGTGAAAGCAGAGATTGACAGGGAAGTCGGACATGAGCGCTTGGTACAAGAGTCTGATCTTCCCAAGCGAAGATATGTCCGTTGTGTCGTTAATGAGACCCTTCGTTTGTATCCTCCAGCCCCACTTTTGCTGCCTCACGCACCATCTGAAGACTGCATCATTGGTGGATACAAGATACCACGAGGCACGATTGTGATGGTGAATGCATGGGCCATACATAGGGATCCCAAGTTGTGGGATATTTTTTTAAAATTTATTTTTAATATCAGTATATTAAAATAATTCAAAAAGATAAAAAAACAAAAACAATTTGGACTGTCTGCGTTATTAGCTTGGACAATGACAACGTAGGAATTCACAACTACCAGATTCCCAAGTCGAAGACTGGAGGTTGTCTCAAGAGCAATGCTAGGAAGAACATGAGTGCACGTGAGAATGCATTGAATGCGAAAGGGTGACAACAAGAAGAAGCCTAAGAGCAGAATTGAATAAAATAAACTGGACAAATTGAAGATTCGAATTTAATAAATTAATTAAGGAATTAACGGCGAGGATGATTGAAAGGTTATTTCACGTGCAAAAAAATTAAAAATTAAAAATACCTTAATTAATTGAAAAATAAATCTTGATAATTATAAAATAGACCTAGTTTAACAGTGATAATCACACGAGTTTAACAATGAAGAACTAATTAGTATCGTATCATTCAGTGATAATTATATGATTGCATAATGTTGGCTCTCATCCCACAATTTAAATTATATGAAACCAAGTGCAAAAAAATAAAAATAAAATAAATAAAATGTTATAAAACAGCAACTAATGTTAGGTTAATAATTTTTATGATTTATTAATTGATAAACATGCGTACAATAGAGTCTGCTGAGATTATGCACATGCATGTATAAGATTTTGTTGATTTGTCGGTATTTTAATTATTAAATTGATGGCCGATTAGATCTAATTTATTAAGAACTGGCATTAAAACAGTGTTTAATGTTAGCTCACTTCGTTCGATTGAAAAATGGTCCGTGAAGATTTGCTGCAGACATGATCAATAGCTTGACAAACTGGGTGGCAGAATTTAATAACTTTCCAAGTAAAAAAGCACAAAAACTAAGATGTGAAAAGTTAACTTTGCTCCTCCTATTTTTCAATTGATACATTTATAGTCCCTCTGGTTTTTTTCCCCTTAAAAATCACTTTTAATCCAAAACTTCATGTTCTTCTCTTTTCAGCCCATTTAGTTTGAGAGATGAAAGAGGTCGAAGAGATAAAGATTAGTTGTTGGCACTAATTTTAGCTAAAAAAAAATCAATTTTGATATTAATAAATTTTATTTGACAAGAAAAGTTTTATATTAGTGATTTTTGGCCTTCACCTTATTTGAAAAAGTAGATCTAGAATATGAAAGGCTTTGGAATTTGGGTTGGATTCAGATTTTTTTAACAAGTTCATGAATAAATAAGTTTATTAAGGTTTTTATTGTATCTTTGGGTACAAAATACCCCTCTTATGATTTTTCAGCAGCTCTTTGGTTATTGAAATTTAAAATAGTAGATGACATGTTATCTATACTAATTTTTAAAAAACAATTAAAGGGAGGATGAGGCTACTCTGTTTTTTCTTCTTATTCTTTTTTTTTTTAAGTTAAAGAGTAGATGATGTCCAAACTCTCGCACCTTGCTTGTTTTGTTTTTTTTCTTTATTAATTCTACATTTTACACTTTGATCGATTCAAATAGATTGATTTAAAAATAATTTAATTTTTTTAATTAAATACCATTGATTTTCAATTTTTTTATTAAATAATATCCCTTTTCTATTATATTAAAAAAGTTCTTTTTTTTCAACCCTGTATGAATTTGTTTTTTAAAATTCTATTTGATCACTAAATTTATTGATTGATTAAATATCATTTGATTTTTTGAAAAAATATTTATCATAGCATGCCCACACCATGGGCTCTTTCTTAAAGCCTTTGATTATTTATTTTTTCAAATATTTTTAAATAAAATTATTTTTGAACGAGATCATTATATTTTTTTATATATTAGCAAGCTCTTTTTTTCTTATGCCACTCATGATTATTTTTTCTTTTTTTCTTTATTTTAATTAAAATTAATTATAATTTTAAAAAAATATTATTATATTTGAGATATTGTTTATTAAATAACTAATTGAATCAGGGTCAACATCATTTTTTAAAAAACAATTGATGCAACCATATTATTTCATAGTTTTATCCATATTTACATAGTATTTTGTTCATATTTTATATATAAAATGTCTTGATTTTTTTTTTAATATTTTTAAGGCACTTTTGGTTGTGAGATTCAAAAAGAAATAAACTAGAGATAAAATTTAGACTATGTTCCAACCTGTGTCGAATATTGATAAATTTGACATCTGATTAATGTTTTATGCAGAAGTTGAGTTGTAGAGGTCAACATAAAGTGATTCCAATGGAATCAGAAAGCTAATATCCAAATAGAAAGAATAATAATAATAAAAAAAAGGGATGAAAATTATAGCCTTCAAAAACAAGTTTTGTATTATGCCAATTTTGACTTTTGGCCATTCTAACTTGAATATCTTGCGCTAGAGAAGTTTATTCGATGCAAAATCAATTTTGTTCGATTCCTGACTCAAATACCTATCAGCCTACCAAATATCAGTAAAAAAAGAACTCATATGAGAGATATATGATTTCACTAAGACAACTTATAAATTTTACCAGTAGATAGGTTTTGTAAATAAATAAATCTAACTTACTTAAATGTAGATTATCCACTTTGAAAAGGATTATTTGTATTTTTTTTTTAGAGAATACAAATGGATTAGATGGATGTGAGAATTAGGGTTTTTGAGGAAATAAAAAGAAAGAGAAAGAAATAGAGGAGGCGGCCAAAAAGAAGAAGAGAAACTCTACCCTTTTCTCTTATATCGGAAATTATATTCTTACTTGTTCTATTCATTAGTTTTTTAATAGACATGCAAAGTTAAATTATTTTTCTTGGTTGAAAGGATACAAAAACTTTCAGATTTCAAAAACCGCGAGATCTATTCTATCTTTTCTTTTTAGTTTATATGATGAATATGAATGCTTTTTTATGCTTATTTTCTATGATTGTTTAGTTTGATTGTTAGAGCAGACTCTAAATTGTTATTCCAAACTAATCTACTACTAAGTTTGCTATCAAAATCGGAGTTGTGATGTTTGAACTTATGAAGTGACTAGGTTTAACAATTATGGTGGATCTATGTTTTTAATCTTAGAAAAAAATATTTAATTAAATCAAACATAAATTACAGACAATTATTTATCTAGATTTTTTAACCTATCTAGTTCTTAAGGCTATCATTGAATTAAATTACTAATGCGAATACTGTGTTTATTTAATGGTTACAGTTAGTTAGAGTACGGATCGATTAACTAACTAATGTTATGAAAATATAGATATTTAAAATATAAATTGACATATCATTTCAGTGATCAACTTTGATTTTCATAGATAGATGTTTACTTGAGACCAAAGTTTTTCTCTTAATAAGTTTCAAATTTATTTAATTTAGCTTGATTGCTTTAGTTTGTTTACCATATCATAGCCTAGATAACCTTAAAACCTCCCAACTTTGAATCATCTAGCATAAAGACCTGAACTCGATTTTTCTTATGGGACTAACCCTTTGTGTAAACCCCAAGTTGAAATTTATTAGAAATTAAAAAGTTTTCAATATTTATAGAATAAATTCAGAATAAGTAAATAAATTATGAAGTTAATTTATGTAATATCCCACATTGAAAGGAGAGTATCCAAAGTCAGGGCATATTAAAGCAATTGGTACCTAACTGTGAGGCGTGGAAGCTAGGTTGAGTTAAGCTATAACGGACAATATTCTAGAAGGGGAAGTGAGTTGGGCCTTACAATTTAACTATTAAAGTGTGATAATGAAAAATTACAAGATAGAGGATTAAAGTGTACAAAAAAAGGAAGAAATACTAGGAACTAATAGGATATTAGCCAAACAAAGCCAAGCCCCAATTAAAAAGGGGTATGAATACATGTGAAAGAGTAAGATGAAGACTTTTCTTCTCCTTAGAGTTCGCTGAAACAACCCCTCCTTCATTTCAAATTTCAAGTAAGAAATCGTTTGCATATCTCCGTTACAAAGTGCCTTGAGTGAAAAAAGAATAATTATGAGGTGAAAAATCAAGAATTTGAAATAGAGAAAAAGAAAGAGGGCTGGCTAAAACTAAAAAAAGAAAAGAACATAGAAAGGAAGAAGGAGAAAATCACCTAAGTACTCCCTCAAATTTCTCCTAAATTCATGTGGTAAGAGTAACCTTTTGCCTTTGGAACTTGTTATTTTAAGGAGTTAGGTTGTATGGAAAGAAAGCCTTAAATGAAGTGATTTAGGGTTTTTGAATTAATTTAGGGTAAATAAAAAATCAATACAAATACATACTCTGGAGCATATATAGTCTAGGAACACACAATTATTTAACTAGGATTGATGAAAATGGGAGTAGTTAGGGGGGGTATTCAATGATATTTATATTAATATAATGATGTTTTATGTTCAATTATATGGATTGATGAAATGTGTAGTTAGTGAAATCATTTTTAACTTCTTTTAATATTTCTTGATTTGCATTTATATGCTTTATGTTGATGCTTGAAGTTGTGTGAGTCCTGTTATCTTGAAAATTATATTTTAAAAAAAAATTTAATATCATGATGAGGAATGAACTTCAATTGCTGGTCCTAATAGATTTTAGATGTAATGGAATCCTAAGATGTCAAAAAGTTACATAAGATAGGAAATTTTTAATTAGTGTCTAAACCCATGAATTCAAGTATGGATAATTTTGGTAATGGGAATTCCAAAAAAACTTTGACATAGAAGATGATAAAAGTTGCTGCAACATTTATATAAAAGTTGTATAGGAATGAGTTAGTTAACATTTGACATTGACCTTCCTTAATTAGAGTTATAAAACTCTAGATACGAGTAAAAAGGTCAAGTTGTTTGTAACAACATATTTTTGGTGATCAAAATTAAAACTATTATTAGATATATAAGATGATAGACATTGCTATAATGTTTCATATAAAAGTTGTAGAGGAATGAGTTAGTTAACATTTGGCTCTGGCCTTGCCTCAATTGGAGTTATAGAACTTTAGATATTGACAAAATACTATTAAGAAGTCAAGTTATTCGTAACAAGATAATTTTGGTGATCAGAATTACAATTATTTTTAGACATAGCTATAACTTTTCATTTAACAGACATAGAGGAATGAGTTAGCTAACATTTAGCACTGACCTTGCTTCAACTGAAGTTGTAAAACTCCAGATATAGACAAAATATCATTAAGTGGACAAGTTGTTTATAACATGACATATTTCACTACCTGACTTCTAGCTAATTTTAGAATAGAAAATAAGAATT